TTGGGTAACGATCTCTCTGTGAGTGTGTGCGTTTGTGTGTGTGTGTGGGGGGGGGGGGTTACAAAAGACACAAGGCAAGGGCGGCACCGGTACAGTACAAAAGACATGGTCACTCAGGTGTGGAGCCAGAGATTGGAGTGTTTTCTAAGCCCCCTGTTATTGGCGTCCCAGTGCCCACAGACGTGGGAGAGAGACAGATGGCGCGATAGGGAGCCAGAGATTGGAGTGTTTTCTAAGCCATCTGTTGTTGACGCCCCAGTGCCTACAGACGTGTGGGAGAGACAGATGGCGCAGATTGCGCAATAGGGAGTCAGAGATTGGAGTGTTTTATAAGCCCTCTGTTGTAGTTGTTGGCGCTCCAGTGCCCACAGACGTGTGTGAAAAACAGATGGCGCAATAGGGAGCCATAGATTGGAGTGTTTTCTAAGCCCTCTGTTATTGGTGCCCCTGTCCCCACAGACGTGGGGGAGAGACAGAGTTTGGAGTGTTTTATAAGTCCTGTTATTTTAAAAAAAAGCCAGAATCCACAGATATAGGGAGTGAGACAGACGGTGCAATGGCAGGAAGTGTTATGATAGACTGTAGATGTTTTACATCTCCATGGACACCGTTTAGATCATTTAGGAGGCAGGCTGCTTCAGCAATGTATGCCAGTGACAAACCGAGAGGAGTTCAGACAGTACATTTCTGTGACGCACATTATGTCCTCTCTATATCCCCCCCCCCACACACACATTCCCCCAAACTGTCAAGACGAGATACTCGGAGACAGCACAAGGCCAAGGGTTATCTCAACTATTTCTACAGTGCTGTGCTCTGAGTGGGGAAAATGTCGTCATCATCCTTGTCTCTGTCACATGCTCGGTTCAAGCATGATGTTTGCTTTTTCTTTCTTAATCCATACTATCGTCATTTTTTTCTCTACTTGGTTTGTCACACTCTTGTGACCCGTTATTTCCGGGACGCCTTGATCGTCGAAGTGGACTTTATGCTGTTGAATTTACAGAGGTGAGCAGAGTAAGCCTGATTCCCTGTAAAGACTTCTCTGTCGACATCAACCCCTTGGCGCTCATATGACCTTACGCAGTTGCGAGCGCCGTAAAATCTCAACTAAAACTGACTAAAGCATGATGTGCTTTAAAAAAAAGAAAAAAGAAAGATGTCGGTGTTTTACGTGTCCATAGACACAATTTAGATCATTTGAGAGGCGAGCGTCCCACCTGCCTGGACCAACCAGCAGAGAGGAGTCAGATACAGCAACATCCCAGGGGACCCTCCGACACACTCCAAGTAACATTTAAACATTCTCCCCACTTGGGTCACCTGTGCGTGTACCACAGTGAGGTGTTTACTTTAACTTTAACTACTACACCACAGCGAGGTGTCCAACTACTACACCACTCGGGTCTCCTGTGCACCACAGCGAGGTGTCTAACTACTACACCACTCGGGTCTCCTGTGTGTACCACAGCGAGGTGTCTAACTACTACACCACTCGGGTCTCCTGTGTGTACCACAGCGAGGTGTCTAACTACTACACCACTCGGGTCTCCTGTGCACCACAGCGAGGTGTCTAACTACTACACCACTCGGGCCTCCTGTGTGTGACAGTGAGGTGTCCAACTACTACACCACAGCGGTCTCCTGTGTGTACCATAGCGAGGTGTCTAACTACTACACCACTCGGGTCTCCTGTGTGTACCACAGCGAGGTGTCTAACTACTACACCACTCGGGTCTCCTGTGTGTACCACAGCGAGGTGTCTAACTACTACACCACTCGGGTCTCCTGTGTACCACAGCGAGGTGTCTAACTACTACACCACAGTGAGGTGTCTACTACACCACTCAGGTCTCTTGTGTCACGTAGTGTAGTGCAGGGAAGAAGCAAGACAAAAAAAAAAAAACAAGAGGGAAAAAAATAGGACACAACCTTCCAGTGGCACCCCCTAGCCACCTGCTGAGAGAAGACAAATATATATCTGAGTGATAGAGAAGGAAGAAATGAAGGAATAAACTAGAGAGCAACAGACTCACAAACATTCATAAAACACGAGTCAAAATCAGATTTGATGTTTACATTGCAAATCAACTTATTTTCACTTTATTCAGGGTCATGCATGTTTCAATTTTCATCCTCATCATTCAAGTTTTAAAAAAAAACAACTCCCCCCCCCCCCCCCCAAAAAAAAAACAACAACCCAAAACAAAAGCATATAAAAGAAAAGCAACCAGGTATTCATGCGACAAATAGGGTAGCGGTATCGCGGTATAAAAATCCACACCAGTACCAGCAACTTCTCACAACAATACAGGATGTTTCTCGTACATCATAAGCCAGTGTTGCTTTCTTTCAACTTCTCACTTTCAACTAATCAACTTTTTAGAATAACAAAAATAAAACCCCAACCAAAACAACAAACAAAAACCAATCATGTTTCAGTTCCGATGACAAATTAGCTCTAGTTATGTTTGTTTAAATAGAAGTGAGGCTAGACAAGCTTCTAAGGAGAAACACCAAACATTTTGAATGTGGTTTAGTTTTCGTAAGTTTTACAGCACCTGTAACATAATTAGGTCATACAGGTGCTGACGATAGGTGTAAGGGTGTAACAAACAGAAAAGAAAGAGATAGATAAAGACGACAGATGTTTGGTAGGAGGAGGAGTAGGAGCAAACTCCGCACCATGCGGGAGAGATATCTAGGTCAGTTCCAGCCACGTGGGCAGACAACATATTATAATTATTTCACAGTCAGTCTCTCAGTAGTCACATGTGTCAGAAAGAAAGCAAAAATACCGGAAAAAAAGAAATGGGTAAAAATGAGGTAGAAAAGCAAACACCAAAGAATGAAACATGATGCAGAGTGGTCTTTGCAAGTACTTGTAAACTATTTCCCCCCACATGACATGAATGATGAACATACATTACCCTCAAGAGTGGAAGTGAGAAGCAATTTTTTTTCATTTGGATTTAGTTTTGATCACTTTGACTTATTGAAAGCTGTGTGGAATGAAAACAAAAAAAACAACAATAGTTATAAATACATTATTCTACAGTAGAGTATGAATCAAGCATAAGTTAAATGTATTTGTACATACAGCATGCATCCATATATATAGCGCAACAATCATAATGTACAACACGCTCTCTCCCTCTGTCTCTCTCTCTCTCACGTACAATCATAACACACAACTTGCCGAACAACACGCTCCCTCTCATGCACAACTTGTCAAACAGCACTGTCTCTCTCTCTCTCACACACATTGACCAAAAGTCCAGTCAAGCAAGTATAAATTTGAGTTTGGTGGTAGAGTGAAGAATGAATAACATTATTACACAAACAACCAAAAAGAATCAGACATTCCCGGTTCTTCCAACAGCTTTTTTTCCCTTGAGCCCCAACAGTCTGTCAGATTACAAACGGAAACAAAAAGATGCCCACTTACAAGGGGGATAATTCCCACACTTTTAAACGCTAGCATTCAGGCAAAGCACGTACTACCAGTTTGTTCACAATTACACACAATCGCACTGATGCTGGACAGTGATCACACTGACTAACACACATAGAATATATATATATATACATATTATTATGTAATCAGGTATTTTTTTTACAACTCCGCCAGAACGTCATATACATCATGTACACACAAGTCATGCTCAGATCACAGACAAGGAGAAAATTTCCCCAGAACTTATTTCACCTTACAGAATGCAAATTGAATGATGAAAGCCAAACAAAACAAAAAAACTCCAAAGAATTGTGAAAAAAAAAGTTCTTCTCATTGTAATGATAGTCATGCTGACACAGAAACCACCACATAAGACGACCCATTAAAAAGACCCCCCTCCCCCAAGGAAGTGAAACAAAAGTGGAAAACGGTTAAATTTTTTCCTTCATATACCCATATGGATGAAATAGAAGGTGTGTAATATATAGTGTTAACACTAACATCAAAATAAAATAAAAAAACAGGCACTACTTACTACTTCAGCCATATATATATATAACAAAAATACCTGTTTGTCTCACAGTTACAACACCCCAAGAAAGAAAGAAATTCATAGCCCCGCCCCAACATTTAAGAGATTTCACTGATTGAAGCAGCCTTATCCTACTAGACTACTACTATTATAATACAGCCCCAGTGAGGAGTTTTGGTATGGCGTAGCATGGCATGGGGCGAATGTTGAAATATTTTCTAGAAATAACATGTATCAGCACATGTCATTATAAGAGTAGAACTTTTTATTCATCATCATTTCTTTCTAGGAGATCTGAAAGCCAGTCAGTTCACAAAAAGTGAACATTGTTTATCACAAAGCTTTTAAAACGCTTTGAACGTCATTTTTCATAATATGAATGAAAATTTACACAGAGTACCTGCCAGAGATTCTATTTTACAAGGGTTGAAATGTACAGTCATCTATGCCAGGAAATCCCACTATTCACACATGTACAATATCACAATTTGTTGCCAGGTCAATGTACACAGGTACTCCATCTTTTTACAACCTTACACAATGTACAGAAATGCATTTGTGAGGCATCGTGGTGAAATCAGGCGCTCGTCAAAATGATGAAATCCGAGAAACCAGCATTTTCCGGCCAGTTTGGAATTTTTTTTCTCAAATTTTTGTTTTTTGGCTCAACGTCTTGTTTGTCCATTTAAAATCACTTTCATGAGTGGATTTTATTTTTATGCAAAAACGTTGATTAAAGGCACAAGAAATCTAAATTTGCAGTTTCCAAGGACTCTTAAAAGCTCTATGGAAGTCACTTATAAAACTTTGGCGCCATTTTCTCACTAATTTTACTTCAGGCGACCCTCACCCCCTTCAATCGCAAAAATCTCGACTTCAATTCAAGATAAATGGATTTTTTTTTTTCATCGAAAGCAAGGCAAAAGAACAACTTCTAAGATGACACTGATAACTCCATTTGCCAAAAAATTGACGAGCGCCTGACTTCACTGCGATGTGACACATTTATTCTTCAATTACTCTCTCTATATATATATACCATCAACACTACACATTTACACTTTACACATTGCTGCTCAGTCACAACTTCTTCATGTGAAACAACATTCTCAGAACAAGTAATCGTCATGTGCCGGAGCTGCAAGACACTTTTACGCCGTCGACTACGGAAGAGGGCTTAATTGTTTGTTCATACTCCATGTTACATTTTTCAAAAAATAACAAACATTTAAAAGACTGAGCCACATTCATGAATCCCACGACTCGCAATCGTAGCAGTAAAACCATTTAAGTATGGGGAAAAGAGAAAAAAAAAGGGCTTCCATAATAACTTACAATATCAAAGAAAAAGTGAAAGTTTATCGCTTGTACAATGGTTTCCTCTCCTTGGCCATGCCCACGTAATCCGCCGGCCCGGAGACATTGAAGAAGGAAGGACTCGACCAGATGTTCCAACCGGTGCCGTCCGACTCGGACCACGCGCCTGGGTAGAGAGGACCCCACACTGGCTCTGGTTGCAGTTGCTGGATACTGTTGCCATTGACGACTGTTTGGGCTGCTGACGGGAAAACTGCTGCTCTATGACAAGAGTTGACGACAAAGCCACCAGTCAGGTGTGTCGTAGCTTGCTGTGTCGCAGGTTTGGCCGAGGTGATGGCTCGGGGGGCGGGTGGGGGATGGGGAGAGGGAGTCCTGCTGGGGGTTGACAGAATCTGCCGTGTTGGTGGTGGCGGTGTCGACAGCGAAGGTGGTGGTGGTGTCGATAGCACTTTAGTCGGGCTCATCATGGGAAGCAACATGCCACCCTGTGCTGGAGGCGGGCTGCTCACGGTCCAGTACTCGTTATACAGCGGCCGAGACTGTCCAGCCATGCCTGACCACTGGTTGTTTCTGGACTGGTTTTGAACCTGACGCGTGTCTGCTGACCAGGTACCATCGACTGAAGGTTTCGGAACTTGCATATTTTCCATCTTCGACCCCTGCAAGACTCCGTTCTTTCTTTGAGGCAGCTCTCTGGCAGCATTTGCCTGTTTCTTCGACTGTTTAACAGTCCACCCGTTTGACTTGACGGGGTCTGTCCGCCCTGGGGGGCTCCGCACGGAGGTCGCAGGGGTAACATCTACACTTGGAGGTCTGGAATCTTCTTTGGCCACTTGAGAAGTGTGGTTGTCCTCCTCTATGTCGGCGGTGTAGCGGTCCACAGCACACATCAGCATCCGCAGGTGGTGAGACACCAGGTTCTTCCTGTCAACTCCAGAATCTGACTCGTCTTCCTTTTCTTTCTGATCAGCAACTCTTTCCAGCTCGCGGAGCATTTCGATTGTCCTTATGTCCGGGTCTGAGAGGTCAACTGAACGCTTTTCCTCATTTTCCTTTGCCGGGGAGTTCTGATTTGTCACAGTTTGGGTATTCGGTTCCACGGGGCTCCCCTCTATCAGCGGGTCATCCACCCACACATCTTCGTAAGGCGTTCTTGCCATCTCGAGGTATGGCGACATGATGTCACGACTGTCCACAAGTGCAGGACTAGACTGGAGGCTGGAGGGGTATGTAGATATTTCTGACGGTAAAAGAACGTCGCTTGTACTGTTGTTCTGACCGTTGTCTATCCCCCAGGGCGACGGGGGAGGGGTGCAGTAACTTGGTGGTACCAGGTACTCCCCGGCGTGCGAACCTCTGAGTGCATACTTCAGCATGGAAGTGTCCACATGTAGCAAGGCGTCTTCCTTAGTGTTGGGAGACCACGCCTGTGGGTCAGGTCTGTTGTACGTCCTCAGCGGTTGCTTCATGGCACAGTTTGGCGTGTGTGTGTAAGGCGCACTCTCGCAATTCGGAGAGTGTGTGTAGTGCGAACTGTCAATAGAAATCTGATTCAACTGTGGAGAAACGGAACGAAATGCCGGTGACGACCTACAATATTCATTCTCCTGGTCTACTGGATCTGTTTCTGTCGCAGGTTTTGGTGACGACGATGATTTCTGGCGTTTGAATCGAGGAGGTAAGTCTCTAAAACGAGCAGCGGCGTTGTTATCGTGGTGGTGGCGGAAACGTTTCTGTGATGTCATTGTCATCTTTAACAAGTAAGCCACACTGGATTTGCCTAGTTCAAAGTCCCTCTATGCAGCAAGATACCCTGGTGAGAAAAACATAGAGCTATAATTAGGACAGTCGAAATGATCGATTTAACACAGTCACCCATTGTCCAGGTAAAAATGAAATGTCTGTCTTAAACAACGTCACCATAATGTAGACTCTAAAAGCAACAAAAAGTAAGGGGGGAATGGAAAGTGACCGTTTGTTTCGGTATGACTGTGAACACACACAGGTCACACATCTGAATCTGAATTAGAGAGTAGGTCTCTGTGCAGTCTAAAAATACAAGAAGGAAATCAGAAATCATGGTCACGTCTGGACTGTAATGACATGGAAAATTATCGTCGACTCATCCCCGGTGGCAGTGGTCAGTTTCCCTTTATATATAAATATGTCAACAAGACTGTAATGTTAATTAATTGTTGGGACATAATAACCCGAGGCTGTGGAACTTGCTTAAGATTTTTAGTAGGCCTAACCCAAAACGGAATGTCAATACCATGTCTTATAATGTCTGACATTTTAAAAACCATGTGTATGAGCTCTCTTATTTTCACAAAATTTTAAAGTTCAACCTCAAGGGTCTGATCCTAACAGATCACACTGAGCTAGGCTACCCGCTGATTTGCGTACTCCATATAATTTCAGTTGTGCAATTAGATCTATTTGTGGATTCACCCAAATTTTTTTCTGAGGAAGAAAAACTCCAACATCCAACAGTTAAAAAAACACACCAAAAAACTCAACTTGAGAAACCATGCCACAAACCGTTGTTTCCTCACCCTCACACTCAAACCATACTGAGACAAACAAAAAAAAAGTTCTTTGTTCATTTTACCCCAGCCTTAGAAAAATATGGCCATAAAATATGACAGCTTAAACTGCAAGTTATACACCCGTCTCATGTACACGTTTGATATACTTTATTAAATTTCTAGTAGTATTTTGCATGCTGAACACGAATATATGGCCTTCATTTTTGCGCAAATCAATATTTACTGAGTTATTGATGTTTGAAAACAGAACTAGGACCAGTGGCGTAGTAATATTTGACTTATTTTTAACAACATGGGGGGTATATATATGCCCCCCTGAAATTCACAATGATTTGATGTTTTGGCAATTAGGATTGATATTTACATGAAAACAATTGATTTGCAGGGGTTTTAGTGGCCACATGTGTGTTTTGCAGCAAAAATTATGGCAGTTTAGCCTTCATATCAGTGTATCTGTGTGTGGGTGTAAAAGTAGAAATTTACCACTTTTACTAATCTAGAGTCTAGAAGCTAGATTCTAATATCTAGACTCTAGATTTAGATCTAGATTTTAGATTAAATCTAGATCCAGGCTCTAGAAAAGGGGAGCCAATAAATGTGGGCTCGATCTTCATGCAGTAGATTTAGATCTAATTTTGTAGATTGAGGGAGAGAGATAGGGAGAGAGAAAGGGAGACAGAGAGAGAGAGAGACAGAGAGAGAGAGAGAGAGAGAGAGAGAGAGAGAGAGAGAGAGAGAGAGAGAGGGAGAGATCTAGATCGAAAGTAATCGAGTGAAACTAAAACTAAAACTAGATCTAGATCTAGATCTAGATTCTAGATCTAGATCTAGATTCTAGATCTAGATCTAGAATCTAGATCTAGACGTCTATACTAGATCTAGATCTAGATCTAGATATTAGATCTAATATAGATTTTGCCCTATTGGTAGACCAAGATAAAAATTTAAAATATGAAAACCAACCGTCAAAAAAAAATAAATCATGTGGTCACAAAGATTCAGCGATCCGCTTCATAGTCTAGGCTAGGCCAGATCTTTCATCCGGCACGACAAGCTGCTAAGTCACAAAGGAACAGTTTCCGAACTCTCTTCTGCCTCGGTCTACGTCTATACACACCACGCGGACACGAAACATAACTGAGAGAAAGCAGATCTTTTATAGCCTACCCTTGTCTTACAAACCGATTGCACCATGATAGCTTCCATCTAGAAGTTTCGAAGCTAAGTCCGTTATTATAACCACGGGGCGAATCCCCCTAGACAGCCCCACCAGACACATGTGTTCCCCTCGCCCCGCATGTACTATAGATAGATCTAGATCTGGCTAGCATAGAGGCTAGAGGATAGGCTACCCACAATCACGCCATGCCTTCACATTATAACATACCTTTCATTAGGAATTAGGTAAAGTTTCCAATTCTCTGGGCCCGATGAACTAAGTTGTCGATCGAAGTCCGTTCGTGAACACGAGAACAGCAACAAGGGGACAAGTCCTCCGCGTCAAATCTGCTTTATCACAAGTACTGGAGAGTCACGTCCGCTACAGCGACCGAAGTAGAATGTGAGATCTCGTGGTTGCTCAGAGCTTTTTATAGGCCATGACAATTTAGCAACATAGTAATAGTGCTGACGTATCATCACGTGGTGTAAACATGGCCACCACGTCACGGTCGCCAGGAAAGCTCTGAGTCACTGTAGCTAAAAATAGAAAGGAATCCGGGCTTCGCTGTGTGTTGACCTGGTTGCCAGCCCACCCACTGAAGACAACACGGGCCTGCTCCTGTCGCTTGGCGGTGAGTGGGCGTGGAAAACTTGAGGGTATTTCCCTTACGACCTGGCTCGCATCCCCCCACTGCATGATGGGACTTGTTGGTTCACGATGGCTTCGATCTATCTACGCTAGGCTAGGCTAGGACAGGCTAGTTTTGGTGAGTGTTTCCGCCAGTCCGTTTCTCTGAGCAGGAACGAGAAGTTTTTACTATGTGCCAGTACAGGGACTGGTGTCTACTGTTTGTTTTAGTTTTAGATCTCTACCAGAACGTCAGTTTGTCGTACATACACGCCTCTCTCGTCCTACAAACGTCTGCGTCACGCTTCGCGCCCCCCCCCCCTCTCTCTCTCTCTCAACCTTTGACCCCGGTCCCACCCATCCCATCATGTGACTCTCTTCTCTAGGACAAACACCGTTTTATAACTCTCTCTCTCACCTGTTCGCTTGAACTTGAATCATGTTGGTGTTATCCATTGCTCAATGCCCGATCGCTTATATCACCAGTGGGCTCCAACCAACAGTGTGTGTAAATCCACTGTATAGGATAGACCAGACGAACGTATAGGTTATTATAGATAAAGGGGTACCCTCGTGTACCGCTGCACGTAATGATCGCCCCGGATGCATGAATAGCTGTTTCCTTGAAAATCTGAAGATCTAATTAGATCATAATTATATCCTACCTGTTAGACCTGTGAAGATCCAGATCATACATCATCATTTTATGATGCCTGTCACCCCTATCAACCCTCGCGTGAATCGAGGTTTAGAACTGCAAATTGGAATTTAAAATATAAATTAATTTTTTAAAAATTGTTTCCCGTTTCTTTCTGTCTTATCTCTTCAACAGCAACGTTCACTGTTCACGTGACAAATGGCATTCGCGTTCTTTCTTTTCGGGTTTCAGTGAACAGAAACAAAATACCACAGGTGCAGATTTATACCGAACGTGTTGAACGACATGCCCAATTGAAGTTGAGAGGGGGGGGGGTCCTTACAAAGTTGACGTCAACCATGATGCTCTAAAAGGGAGCTCTCGTGACCTCGAGGTTAAGGTTTTCGCCTCTCATTCAAATGCCTCCGGTTCGAATCCGAGCAGCGACGGAAGAATGTTATCCTCTAAAATTGTCTCCTTTCACCTCCTTTCCTGCTCTCTAGAAATGTTCTGTCCTCTGCTTGCGTCTCAATTTTCTGCCCCCGCCCCTTCACCTCCTCTCCTTTGCCCCCTCCTCTGGGCTTCTGACTCTTTCTACTGTTACTCCCTGGCTCCTTCTTACTGCTGTCTTTCAGCCATACCCCAGATCAAAATAATATGGTAGGGAAGATCTACACCTAGCCTTCTCAGGTAAGGGCGAAAGATCTCAGACGTCCCGAGTGCAAGTTGTGCACGTGAAAGATCCCTTGGTGGTCCAAAATCGACAAGAGTAGATCTAGGCTTCAGTCACCACCCGGGCAAAATTCAAAATTTCCTACCAACTGAAAAAGATTAATGTTTAATGTGTCCCGCACTCTCATGGCCTTATGATATATATATATGCAATTGTGAGCCCCGTAACC